TCCCAAAGGTTTTTTATTGGGTTTTTGGCTGTGTTTGGTGACTTAGAACGCGTGTGTAGCTTCAGTAGGTAGACGTATTGCTTGTAGTTCTCTTACCTGTTTTCAGGACATCTCCGAGAATCCATGTGTCGCCTGTTCGATTCCGGGCCACTCGGATTTTATCATGCCCGCCACGCACCTTCGGCTCTCGTTCTGTTGCTTCTCTTTTGAGCTCTGTTGGCGGTCTCCGTGGTCATTGCTGCCATGCCTCTTTCAGTGTATGCCTTTCATAGACACGCCAGCTAAAAGAATGTGCTCATGGCCAGACTGCTTCGCCATTGGTCTTGCTTGCCGACCGACGCGAAAGCGTTGCTGTCCTTGGCTCGGACCGCTCAACATTCCTGTGTGACTTGCACACTGCTGGATACGCACTTGGCTACTACAACGACATACCACCAGTGCTAGCGACGCCAGTCGTCATTGAAGTAGACAGATCAACCCTACTTTCGGTTTGCAATGGCAGACGTGGGACCCCGACCGCCGCCGTCCAAGAGACGTTACGGGAAGCCTATGGTGTGAGTGACGGCATTGCGGTCGTATAAAGTGTCGGCAGAGCCCACAAGACGACGAGGGAGGTCTAATAAGAAATGGGTCCATTTTGGTCGTCTGCGAGCACTTGTGCGTTTGATGGTGCGTGAAGCAGGTAGTGAGGATGCGTGGGCAGGTTGTGGTTGCGTGGTATATGCTGTAGAGGTGTTGGTTGTGCATGTAGGAGCGTGCGCAAGGTTTTTATTTGTTTTTGCGTGGTTGTTGGATTAGGACCGAGTGTAGCTCAGTTGGTAGAGCGATTGACTGTAGTGTTCTATACTGTGTTTCAGTATTCTCGGAAATCAATTGGTCGCTGGTTCGATTCCGGCCACTCGGATTTTATCATGCCGCACGCACCTTCGGCTCTCGTTCTGTTGCCTTCTCTTTTGGCTCTGTTGGCGTCTCCGTGGTCATGCTGCCATGCCTCTTTCAGTGTAGGCCTTTCATAGACACGCCAGCCAAAGAATGTGCTCATGGCCAGACTGCTTCGCCATTGGTCTTGCTTGCCGACCGACGCGAAAGCGTTGCTGTCCCTGGCTCGGACCGCTCAACATTCCTGTGTGACTTGCACACTGCTGGATACGCACTTGGTTACTACAACGACATACCACCAGTGCTAGCGACGCCAGTCGTCATTGAAGTAGACAGATCAACCCTACTTTCGGTTTGCAATGGCAGACGTGGGACCCCGACCGCCGCCGTCCAAGAGACGTTACGGGAAGCCTATGGTGTGAGTGACGGCATTGCGGTCGTAAAAAGTGTCGGCAGAGCCCACAAGACGACGAGGGAGGTCTAATAAGAAATGGGTCCATTTTGGTCGTCTGCGAGCACTTGTGCGTTTGATGGTGCGTGAAGCAGGTAGTGAGGATGCGTGGGCAGGTTGTGGCTGCGTGGTATATGCTGTAGAGGTGTTGGTTGTGCATGTAGGAGCGTGCGCAAGGTTTTTATTTGTTTTTGCGTGGTTGTTGGATTAGGACCGAGTGTAGCTCAGTTGGTAGAGCGATTGACTGTAGTGTTCTATACTGTGTTTCAGTATTCTCGGAAATCAAGTTCGATTCCGGCCACTCGGATTTTATCATGCCGCACGCACCTTCGGCTCTCGTTCCGTTGCCTTCTCTTTTGGCTCTGTTGGCGTCTCCGTGGTCATGCTGCCATGCCTCTTTCAGTGTAGGCCTTTCCTAGCCACACCAGCCAAAGAATGTGCTCATGGCCAGACTGCTTCGCCATTGGTCTTGCTTGCCGACCGACGCGAAAGCGTTGCTGTCCGTGGCTCGGACCGCTCAACATTCCTGTGTGACTTGCACACTGCTGGATACGCACTTGGTTACTACAGCGACATACCACCAGTGCTAGCGACGCCAGTCGTCATTGAAGTAGACAGATCAACCCTACTTTCGGTTTGCAATGGCAGACGTGGGACCCCCACCGCCGCCGTCCAAGAGACGTTACGGTAAGTCTATGGTGTGAGGGACGGCATTGCGGTCGTATAAAGTGTCGGCAGAGCCCACAAGACGACGAGGGAGGTCTAATAAGAAATGGGTCCATTTTGGTCGTCTGCGAGCACTTTTTCGTTTGATGGTGCGTGAAGTAGGTAGTGAGGATGCGTGGGCAGGTTGTGGTTGCGTGGTATATGTTGTAGAGGTGTTTATTGTGCATGTAGGAGCGTGCGCAAGGTTTTTATTTGTTTTTGCGTGGTTGTTGGATTAGGACCGAGTGTAGCTCAGTTGGTAGAGCGATTGACTGTAGTGTTCTATACTGTGTTTCAGTATTCTCGGAAATCAATTGGTCGCTGGTTCGATTCCGGCCACTCGGATTTTATCATGCCGCACGCACCTTCGGCTCTCGTTCCGTTGCCTTCTCTTTTGGCTCTGTTGGCGTCTCCGTGGTCATGCTGCCATGTCTCTTTCAGTGTAGGCCTTTCATAGACACGCCAGCCAAAGAATGTGCTCATGGCCAGACTGCTTCGCCATTGGTCTTGCTTGCCGACCGACGCGAAAGCGTTGCTGTCCTTGGCTCGGACCGCTCAACATTTCTGTGTGACTTGCACACTGCTGGATACGCACTTGGTTACTACATCGACATACCACCAGTGCTAGCGACGCACAGTGCGTCATTGAAGTAGACAGATCAACCCTACTCTCGGGAA